ACTCAAATCCAAATTTTTAAAATTTGGCAAAATACATATAAATAAGTCATACTTTATATCAAAAATGCAATTTTTAAAAGATTTCGAATATCAAATTATATACAAATAAGGTATGTTAGAACTCATAAGAAATTATGTTAATTAAGTGTTGTCTACTTAATTTGGGAAACGATACTTAACCAGTGGAGAACACTCCTACCACATAAATATTATATTCTCGTATAAAAAAATGGTATACAAATCATAACATATTAAGTATAAGTTATGAATCCTTAAACAATCGTGCGATACTATTAGTGATGGGTTTTGAGCAATCTAACACTTCCTAAGTGTACATGCAACCCTAATAACCTTGAATCTATGTTTTCTCTATATACATGAAAATTTCTTTTTCAAGGTTATTTCCTAACTAGCATGGCATGGGGAATATATGAAACATAGAACTAGTAGAAATACAAACCTTGTTGTTGCTTGGATTCCTTCAAGACTTTGTGAGCCTAGCACCCCAAATGTTGTGCCTCAAATGCTTCACACAACACCACAAAACTTGGAATAACTTGAGAGAATACTTCTTGCACTCAAAAATCGGTTATGCCCTCTCTAGTAACACTAGGTGCCGATTTTGCTAGCCAAAGAGTCCCTTTTATAGTGGTGTCACAATTAGGGTTTCATTATGAAGACCCATAATTGTCATGACTCTTCATTTCTCATGACCCATGGGTTTGTAACTCCCATGGACTATCCATGGAGCTCCAAGTGGTTACATCCATAACCCATAAACCATGGATCATTAATCCACCATAAAAGAATTGATGATTGTCATAGTCAACCCTATATATTTAATTAGTCTCACTTTGATCACCGAATTGATACTAGATTAGTACTTGATCAATACTAATCAAATAATACTTATTATTAATATATTAGAACTTATAATATATTAATAATCATAAGTGCCTTATTCTCTCATTTAGTCTATCCAAGTATTGCAATGCAATGCAACCCAAATGGACCATGCCGGGTCGGGTCAAGTTCATAACAAATAAAGTTATAGACTTAGACACTATATCCAATAGTCTCCCACTTGGATAAGTCTAATAACTATATTTGCAAATATGACTTCAAAATCCAACTAGAAATCGTAGCTCTTTCAAACTCTCTCGGAACTGAGATGATGATGATACGCCATTTAAGATAAGTGATCATATAATCCTATGCTCTCATGATATCAGCCGGACAAACACATGGAACATGGTCTTGCTTATTGTTCAGCATTTGTTTCTCGATCTCCGATTTGTTTTGACATATAACTAAATTGAACACATCAATTAGGTTCTGACCGGGCCCGGTACATAGGTCAAAAGCAAATCATCAAGGGGCCCAGATATCGCTCCTATTTGTAGAAGGAATAGATAAACTTCGATTGATATGCTTGTACTAACTACTTGTTGAATTATTCACAAAGGCACGTTTTATAACATCGATTTACCAATGCATTTTCGTACAATCAAAGAACAACCAACTCATAGTCAACAACTCATATCTCTAGGTTTGAATATTTATATGATATTATCATCTCACGATCACTCAAGATAAATTCCATGAAGTGATGCAAGTGAGCGTGGGTTGAATCCAATAGTCAGCACTTATGAGTACTCATGAATGTTTTAGCAACCATTACATTATCTAAAGCACTTTAGACAAATTATACAAGCCAAATTCATGACAGTCTTAAATCAATACTTACTTCCAAAGTTTGACTGGCTGTGGATGGTTTGAATAATAACATGATTATTCTGGAAGTAAAAACATGCAAAATTGAAACATAGTAAACAAGCAACACAAGATAGTAACACCTTACTCATAAATAACAACTTTTATTTATCATCAAATGTCAATTACATTTTACAAGTTTTAGGAATCTAATTATTGAAACTAATATCATCCTTCAGCCCAATGCACCCCGCATGCTGTAAATGCTAAACCCTCCTCAATTCCTTCGTGAGGGGGTCTTCCGTGTTCTCATCTGATGATACCCTCTTTGCAACGAGGAGTCCTTCTTCTATTCTATGTCTGATGAAATGGTATTTTGTGTCAATGTGCCTAGATCTCCCATGATCTCTTGGTTCTTTAGCCAAAGCAACCGCACTTTCACTGTCACAAAAAATTTCCATTGGCTCCTTTATAGATGGTACAACTCCAAGATCTCCGATGAAGTTCTTTAGCCATATCGCCTCTTTTGCTGCCTCGCTTGCTGCTATGTACTGTGATTCACAAGTCGAATCAGCTACTGTCTCCTGCTTGGAACTTTTCCAAGTAATTGCTCCTCCATTTAGGAAAAAGACCCAGCTTGACTGAGAGCGGAAATTGTCCCTATCAGTTTGAAAGCTAGCATCACTATATCCTTCCACTCTCAAGTCATCACTGCCTCCGAGGGTAAGGACTCAGTCCTTAGTCCTCCGTAAATACTTGAGAATGTTCTTTACCGCTGTCCAGTGTGCCTTGCTAGAGTTCCCTTTATATCTACTGACCATGCTCAAATCAAAGGCCACATCAGAGCGGGTACAAGTCATATCATACATGATCGAGCCCACAGCGGAAGCATATGGTATCTAACTCATTTAAGCTATCTCAGACTCTGTGCTTGGACTCTGAGTCTTACTTAGCTTGGTATTACTCTGGATTGGTAATTCTCTTTTCTTGGAGTCCTACATACTGAACCTCTTCAGTACCTTATCCACATAAGTACTTTGACTAAGTCCAATTAGTCTTTTACTCCTATCTCTCAATATCCTTATCTATAGGATATAGGCAGCTTCCCCAAGGTCCTTTATAGTAAAACACTTCCCAAGCCAGGCCTTAACCTCCTTCAAAGTTGGGATGTCGTTTCCTATGAGAAGTATGTCATCCACATACAACACCAAGAAGCTAACTATGATCCCACTAGCCCTAACATACACACAAGACTCATCCTCACTCCTACAAAATCCAAACTCTTTGACTTTCTCATCAAAGCAAAGATTCCACCTGCGAGATGCTTGTTTCATTCCATAAATGGATTTTTCAAGCTTACACACTCTATTAGGGTATTTTGGATCGACAAAACCCTCTGGTTGAGCCATGTAAACATCCTCAGCCAACATCCCATTAAGGAAAGCAGTCTTGACATCCATTTGCCATATTTCATATTCATGAAACACAACTATGGCTAACAACACTCTAATAGACTAATCTTAGCTACTGGTGAGAAGGTCTCATCATAGTCAACTCCCGGAGTTTGAGTAAATCCCTTCGTAACCAACCGTGCTTTATAAGTGTGTACTTTCCCATCCTTGTCGGTCTTCTTCTTGAAGATCCATTTGCACCCAACTGTCTTACGACCTGCTACATTGTCAACCAAGTCCCAAACTTGATTATCATACATTGACTGAATCTCGTTGTCCATAGCCTCGTTCCATTTCGCAGACTCAGGGCCTGCCATGGCTTCCTTATAATTATTAGGTTCATCCAAATCTATCAGCGTACTATCACTGATAAATGTATCACCTTCAGTGGTGATGTGATAACCATAATAAAAATCAGGTGTCACTACAAGAAAATAGTCCTTTAATGACGTGCAAACAATGACACGCAGTGATTTACGATACACATTTATTAGTGCCCTAAAAATTATGTCAGCTTTTCCTAAAAGTCAAGAATAGAGGACGTGCCCTATAATTCGCATCAAAAAAAGAAAAAAAAACACGGAGGGCACCTTTTATAAATAGTGTGACGTCTAGGCCTGTCGTTTTATAATATTTTAATGAAAGGCGCATCTCCATCCATATAGCATCTCGGTATACCTAAGGAGGGAAATGAAATCCCAAAAATTAAAAACCCCACTCATTCTCTTCTCCCTCTCCACTAGTTATGCCATCGAGTTTTTGATTCGTTCACACTCTAGAACAAGCACATACATCACTCTCTTATCATTCTCCTTTAATTTCTTACTCTTATAATTAAGGATTTAGGGATTTTTCAAATTACTGTTCCAATTTTTTTGTTCAGGTTTGTATTTTAGTCAAATGGTGCCCCTGCAGGAAAGTCTAATGTGTCTGGCCATCAGCCTGTGGCGACGATAGCCCGTCTCGCAATCCCAGTTGACGGAGGAATACCTGGACCACCGGTAGTAGGTCAATACAAATTCAACACTTGCACCCAGAAATACAAATTGGAAGCCCTCGATTGTAGCGTCGATCGATAATTACGACAACCCTAAAACACATCTATGAAATCGCAAAGGTGAAGCAATCAGATCTATAGTCGAATTTCTTCCACATCGATCCTCACACTAACTGGTTCGGCAATTGTTAGCTATTCAATTCTATTCATCTTAATTCCCCCTTTCATATATGTTTTTCATTGGATTTCTGTCAACTCACAGACGCAATGGCATCAAGATCGTACAACAAAGTCGCTGATATCTACGATCAACTTACACTTCAGATAACATACATATGAATTTGTGTAATGATCGTTGTGCGCTAATCGTTGCTTACTACTACGATTGACTGTGTGTTGGGTTAAGATTTGAAACCCTAATTTTATATCTGCTGGCGTGATTTCAATCTTACTGTTACTTTATTTTTCCTTTTTCATGTAGATTGCTTCGCAAGGCGTTGCATTTCAAGACGAATGGTTGTATGTTGTTCTTCTTCCAGGGCACATTTACCTTAATGATCTGTAAGTTAAGACAATTTGTTTCTATTTTTTTCTTTTTCATGTGTTCTATCTATACATATCTGAATTTTGAACCTGATCTTAAAATTGATTCTGATATAAAAGGTGGAATATCCACAAAATGTGTTCTATCTATACATCTTCTAGGGCATATTTACCTTAAAGACCTGGACTCTCCATTTTTGCTTCACTTTTATCACCACAAATAGTCCCAGATGTGCTAATCAGTAAATAATTAGAGTAGCAATTAAAATTACCAAACTATCCCAATAATTGGTTTTATGTTTCAGGTGCTTTTGGCTAAACTATGTGAAGGAACAACATGAGTGAATGCAAACAATGGCATTATTAGTGGTGTTCTTGTAACTGTGGGAGATCTTGCTAGATTGGTAGGAGATTCTTACATTCTTTTTTTTTTGTTCTCTTAAGTGTAAAATGTTTGATTTGCTGAGTCTTACTTGTATATGTGTAGGGTGGTTTTGCTATGAGAGAATATATCCCTGAACTTATACCAAAAATTATTGAAGCTTTATTGGATGAAGCTGTTGATACTAAACGTGAGGTTGCTATTGCAACTCTTGGTCAACTTGTACAGAGCACATGGTATGTATTCAACATTATCAATATTACAAGTGACACTATATTTAGAAGGGCAAACACTTTTTACAAAAATTGGTTGGTTTTTGTTTATAGTTATGTGATAGCTCCATGTAATGAGTACCCACAGTTGCCGAGCTTACTTTTAAAATTGTTGAATGGTGAGCCGGGATGGTCTACAAGGTGGGAACTTCTTAGGGTATGTTTTTGACCCTTTTCTAGTTTCTATGATGTTATGTACAGATATTTATGCTAAAAAAAATCTCTGATCAGGTTCTTGGATTAATGTGTGCTTTGCATCCTCATGTTCATAAGCGCAATCAACAAAGCTTAAAAGGACCTCTTAATGATGGGACTCGTACAACCAATGATGTGGGCCCACATATTCAGTCTAATGATGAGTTGCCAATGGATCTTTGACCATCATTTGCAACATCAGAAGATTATTTCTCCACTGTAAGTTTTTTACCAAAAAATAAAAATAAAAAGAAGTCGTACCTGCTACTATTACATCTGATGCTTTTGATTCTACTGATAAATGAAATTTGTAATGTATGATTATGGAATACTACTTGGAATAGGTTCTCATGCAACTACAACTTGCCCATGTTTTCTTCACCTTCTCACTTGGAACAAAAACTCACTACTATGGTAGAACACTGCTTCATGGAGGTGCAAAGTATAGGGCAACAGGTCATGGTTTTGTTGTCTTTCACTCGAAATTTGCTGAAAACTATCGGCTTTATTCGCATAGTCATTTCGTGAAAGGAATCGGGCTTACGATCTTGCTTCTTGTTTCTTGTTTACCAAATATTTGGTGAGTCATATAGAGGAGCTGTTGCTTACCTGTTGATCACCATTTTGCAATTTTGTTGGTGGTAAAGGTAAGAAATAATATATATCTCTATTAGTTTTCGATTGGATGTTAATGTTGATGGATATTTTCGTTATTTGAGCATGAATATTTGTTTGTGTTGCTGTCGGTTTCTCCGTATATGTAGTTGGCTTCCTGAATATCTAAATTTTTTTTTTATTGATTGTAGGTGCTAACTGATATAGTAAGTGCTACCAGCTACCAATTCAAAGGCTATATCAGATAACTTCACTGGAAATGTTTGTCTTTAAACTATCTCATTTCTTCCGGTTTTTAATAAACTTTACTAAATTAAAACTTTATACAGGTAATTGAAGTTGTTAGTGGGGACTCCATTGTTGTTGCTGATGATTCACTACCATTTGGTAGTCCAGCTACTGAAAGAAGACTGAATCTCTCAAGTATCAGATGTCCCAAATTGGGAAACCAATGAAGAGAGGAGAAACCTGCTCCTTATGCCTGTGAACCAAGGGAATTTCTGTGAACAAGATTAATGGGTCGCAGGTAACATTATTACATTTTAATTTATTTTAAACAATTTCAAAATTAGGGTTAAATGTCAAGAATTGTCAACCAACTCATTTACAATTTCAATTCATTAAAATTTTTGAAATGAATAAACATTTCCTATTCAACATCATTAAAAGTTTTGTATGTAGCTTTTATATGCATTACAAATTTATAAAAATTCCTTGTAAACCTCAAGTTAAAAGAAGATTTATCTTATCTTTTTTTTTTTTTTTTCAGTTTGGCATTTTCCTATTGAATGTTGTGTTTGCATTTATGGTCCTATACCAGGATACGAGGTATATAACTATATCACTATATATTTATGTTTATATGTATTTTAGATTTTGATTTTTAGCAACCCTAATTCCTTAACTAGTGTTGACACAACATATGTTCTTGCATATTTTGTGATTATGCTCAATACGGATGCCCATCACAACATTGTCAAAGATAAGGTCAGGATTTCAATCTTTTATTTATTCCGAGTTTATATACTCATTTATTTTTCTGATTTTGATGCTTTGGTTTGTTTATATGTAAGATGAGTAAAGCTGATATTTGTAACATCCCGGAATTTCAAGAGTTGAGTTGAAGGGCTGAAAGTGTAAGTTTCAGAGGGTGACTCGGCGAGTCCATGGATAGACTCGGCGAGTCAGGTCGCGACTATGGTCGGTATCAAGTGGCCTACTCGGCGAGTCCAAAGATGGACTCGGCGAGTAGGTGCTGTATGGAGAAAACCCTAATTTTCGGGGTTGAGCCCTATATAAAGAGCATTATGCCCCTCCACAGCCTCCCTTATTCCCCCCTTGAGTCCCAGAAACCCTAAATTCGTGGAGAGTCCCTTTGTGGAGCAAATTAGAGCTTGGAGAGGTGTTGGTTGAAGAAATCTTGAAGGAGAAGTGGCTTGGATCAAAGGGCTTTGCTTGGATTCGAGTTTCATTCCTATTGAGGCATCCTTTGGAGGTAATACTTTCGTTCTTGGGCTGTGTTTTCCAAGTTTCTCATTTTGGGGTTGTGTGGGGAGCTTGGTTGTGTGGCATCTTGATGTTTGGGAGATGGATCTGAGGTTGCTACCTCAGATCTGGAGTGGAGAAGATCTTAAGAGCATTAAAGCCCTTGTTCTTGTGTTGTTAATGGAGCTATCATGTCCCAAACCTTGGTTCTAAGGTGAATAAGGCCTGGATCTCTTTAGATTCACTTAAAGTTTGCCACTTTACGTGATGGATGGATTGTAGGAGGTTGGATATATGTTTTGGATCAATTGCATGGCCTGAGATGCTTCTGTATGGATTCAGACCGATAGTACTCGACGAGTCACATGGGTGGACTCGACGATTTGCTTGAAGATGGCCTGGAACTCGACGAGTTGGAAGAACAACTCGGCGAGTAGGTTGAAGATAGCCTTGGACTCGGCGAGTCTTGTCGAGGAAGTCCCAATATTTCTGGTTGAGTCGATGAATCGGTGAGTCAAGGGATTACTCGGTGAGTTGGGTGCAAGTGGACTCAGAGTTGTGGGACTCGACGAGTCTTGGGGTGACTCGGCGAGTTGGGTCGCTAATTGAGGGAAGTTCTGAGCATAAGGACTCGGCGAGTCATCGGGTTGACTCGGCGAGTAGGGTCAGTCACGGGTTGACTTTGACCTGGTCTTTGACCAAGGGTTAACCAGCAGTTTCCAGGGGTATTTTGGTAATTGTTGATTATGGTTTTGAGTTCAGGGCATTGGTGGTAGTCCAGTGGTGGAGATCGTATCAAGGATCGGAACAGCTTGGGTTATCTGTTCAGTCGGCAGTTTCGAGGTAGTTATCCTCACTATATCTATAGGGTTTAAGGCACCAAGTCCGACCCTTTTTATCGGATGGAAATCCGAGTAATTGTCTGTTGTATGATATTGCGAGATATGGGCCGGAAGGCGTTACGTTATGGGCCGGAAGGCATTACATGTTGTGGGCCGGAAGGCAATACGATGTGGACCGGAAGGTCATGGCCTGGGAAGGCGTATGTGCATAATTAGTATGTTGGCTGAGTCGTAGGGTGATGTTATGCTAGTGATCGGCTAGGTTGGTATCTTGGTTAGAGTAATGATATGTTATGTGATCTGTTGACCGATTTGCTAACTGTGAACTGTTATATGATTACATGTTATGTGCATGGTTGTCTTATGTTCTGTCATGATATGTATGCTTTTTATGTTGCGGGCCGGAAGACGATATGATATGGGCCGGAAGGCTATGCGTTATGGGCCGGAAGGCATTACGCTATGGGCCGGAAGGCGATATGTTTTGGACCGGAAGGTTGTGGCCTGGAAGGGCGTATATGTGGTTGGTATTTTGGGGGTATCTCACTAAGCTTTCGGGCTTACAGTTGTGGTTTTTTATGTTTTCAGGTTCTCAGGAGTCTGTGGCAAGGCAAAGGCGTGATCGTACCGTTCCTCGCGTTGGTGTTTTATGAAATGGACCTGGGAAAAATACTCTGTTAAATAATGTATTGAAAACCTTTTTGTAACAACGTTATTAAAATGGATTGTTTTGAAAAAATTAAATTGGTTGTACTTTTCGGTCGTTACAAGTTGGTATCAGAGCCTTGGTTTGAGTGAATTGGAGGAACACTTGTGTGACTCCAGACTCAAATCGAGGAGGGCTTTCAAAAGAGAATTTGAAATGTTTTTCAAAATAAGTAAAGGAGGACACGGAGGTACGATCAGCCGGAGCCAGTAAGTAACCCCAAATTACCATTCATGACATTGTTTATTTGAGCTCTAAATAGAACAGCATGCTAAAGTTAGGCTAGGGATATTTAGGATTTCTTGAAACGTGTTGCCTGATTTATGATGCCTGCTAGCCTAGAGTCTTCTTGTGAGAGATTTCTAGTGTTCCTCTAGTCGTGAGGATAGAGCGTTGTTATGTATGTTGCACTAGGGTGTTGTGGAAGTACTTCATACAAATATTGGTAGGTGTGGAAGGTAGTATGGGCCCGTACTACTGAAAGCACGGACCCATACGCGTATCAGGGAAACCATGACCTCTAGGGTTGGGTTGGGAGTTGGTTCCCGGGATAGTGGGAAGTGTCTGAGATTCCTGGTGGTTTATTTTCAGTATGGAGACTTCAGCACACGCTGGGAGTGGATTCGGGTCAGGATCAGGAGAAGGAGAGGGAGTTCCGGGTGGGTCCGTACAACCCGAGGTTGTCAGTCAGATGAGTACGCACGATTTGGATGCGAGGATTCATGAGATCCTACATGATGAAGTTGCTGCATTGTTTCGGGCTGAGCTGCCGGAGATGTTTGGGTCGATCAAGACCGCCATGGTGGAGTATTTTGATGAGCGCTATGCGGCTCTCGCGGGGACGGCTGCCGTGGCGGCTACAGTGGCTGTAGCAGTGGTAGGGGGAGGAGCTGACAGGGATTTTCAGTATTGGGACTTCGATAATATGGAGCCTCCCACCTTCGATGGTGTTCAGAACCCCGATTGTTGCTATGAGATGGTTATCGGACGTGGAGGGGTGTTTCTTCATGTGTTCATGCCGTGCTGATCAGAGGGTGAGGTGTGCTCTGAACCTGTTGAGGCTCGGGGCAAAGGGTTGGTGGAGGTTCACCACAGGGTCATATTCGGATGCGCAGAGGGCTGCGATTTCATGGGGTCAGTTTAGAGAGATGTTCAGTACTCGATATGTTCCGTAGTTAGAGAGGGAGAGGTTGGCTCGGTAGTTCCTCGAGCTGAAGCCAGATTTGGAGTCAGTGACGGAAATCACCAGGATGTTCACCAAGAGGGCGATGTTTTGCCCCTGAGTATGCTAAAGAGAGACATCAGACAGTTTGTGTCTGCGCAGAGGTGCGAGACTTTGTTGGAGTTGCAGGACGCTGCCAGGCGGCGTGAGTTAGAGATTGAGTTGCAGATGCGTGAGTTGAGGCAAGCTCCGGTTCAGTCGTAGCCGGCGACGAAACGGTATAAGACTGTTGATTCCAGGATGGGAGATCAGGGTAGCCATGTCTGTGGAAAGTGTGGAAGGGGTCACACCAGGGTTTGTCGGTCCGGTGGAG